CAGTGGCAGGCCTGGGATAGGGGAAGGGGCGGAGATGGCAGGTGACCCAGATGCCAGTCCACGGTGGACCCGGGAACATGTATGCAGGTTCTCACAACTGGGAATGGTTCCATCAGCAGTGATGGTGGGTTCTATCCAGCATCTGCTGAGACTAGAGCCATAGCTATCCTGTCTTGCTACCTAGAATGGGAGATCCATCCCTGAAGGTAGATACCATGTTTTATTGATTTTATCTCCCCTGTAGCTCACAGAACAGGGCCTAGCACAGAGCAGGCAACAGAGTGGGTACTATGTTCCTGTTTGTTAAATGAATAGGTAAACAAGAAAAAGAATGATCCTCTTCCACACTTGTTAACTCTAGTCAGTTCCATCTCATCATGTTGATTTAGCACCTGAACTCTGCGCTCAGATTTTGGATTCAAATCCTCCCTTTGCTTCTGTCTCTTAGTAGCTGTGTGATCCTGATAAGTTACATAATGTCTCTGAATCTGATTCTCTATCTTTAAAATAAGGGATGATAATTGTTTTTGCCACATAAGGTTGTCACAAGTAAATGCACATAGCACAAGGTGTGGCACATAGTAAGTGTTCGAGAAATGGTAGCTGTTTTCACCTCCAATATTTTCAGCTCTAGGTCTTCCCATCATCTTGAATCTGTACACAGTATTAACCTTCCAGGGCTTGTTTCCACATGCAAACCCCTCGCTATCTCCTTTGGTCCTTAAAGCAGCCCCAAGAGGGAGGGAGGGTAAGTAACAGGAGCACCATTTTACAGAGTGCACTGAGCTCATGGGATAGCCTTTTCTAAGACCACACACAGCTAGTGACCAAACTGGGGTCAGAAACCAGATGTCCTCACTCTAGTCCCTGTGCTCTTTCTCCTGTATCAGAGTCCAGGAATACTCTTGTCCGGTTGCCTCTCAGGTCTGCTGGACCAGTGAAGCACCAAGATGGAAGAAGCCAGGGCTGTAGTGGGAGGGACAGAGAGCCCTGGGGATGCTTCAGTCCAGATGTGGGGGGCGAGGAGCTGAGGTTACTGCTGGTTGTTCACCCCCTGCCCTGCTCCCAGTTTCCTGCTCACAGGCTCTTCCTGTTTTGCTGTGAACTCCAGTTCCCATGGGCCCCACATCAGAGGACAGAAGGACAGAAGGCCAGGGCAGGCAGCCAGAGGGATTGAAACAGATGAACAGGGCACCAGGGAAGAGAGGGAAAAGGGAGTGGACAGAGGCTGTGGAGGAACAGGATGGAGAAGGACAGGGAAAGCAGAAACAGAAAACGAACGTGGTGAAAGATGGGGAGGAAGCACGAGGCGGGGTGGGGGTTGGAGAGCAGAGACTGGAGAAGACAGCAGGCTGCATGATATTGCAAAATCTGCCCATGTATTCACTTTCACATTTCAGAAAAGCCCCTCTGACACCCCCCATCTCAAAGTTCTGCCTCCAGCTTTAGCTCTTGTTCCCTCTTATCACAAGGTCATCCCCTCATAAGGCCACCACCCTTGTCTGAGCATCTCTGAGTCATGAGCACAAGGCTCTCCATTCTTCCTCCATGTGTCCCTTTCCTGATTTTCACAAGGTCCCAGCTGTCCTGGGAAAGTAGACATCAGGGACTCCAAACCTCTGGGAAACTGCAACCATTCTGTCCCAGCACTCACATCGTCCATCCAGTTCCCTCCTCCACCTTTCTCCACCCCCAGAAGCATCAGCGTAGAAGTATAGTCAGAGATGTCACTGCAACATTTGGTTATAAGGAATGTGGGATGGAATGTTAGTCTGGGGCTTGATGACCTACCTTCTAGGAGGTGGGAACCGCCTGTTTCATCTACTCCTGATCTGTAGCTCCCTCTCCTGATATCCTAGCCTCTCTGCAGCCCAGGACCCGAGACCACACACACCAGCCCATCTGGAGCCCTCTTGACCCAGGCTAGCGCCAGCTGCTCAATAAGCAGGTCAGGGCGCCATCTCCTCCAAGCCAGGGGGTTAGCTTGCTTTATCTCAAGTACAGGAAGAAGCATGACCAGTGCCTTACTGCCAGAGCTACCCTTTCAGGTTACAGGGTTCAGGAGCCTCCCCCACTGTGAAAAGGGAAAGGGAGAGGAAAACAGGAGAAGCCTAAAACTTGCTGGCACCATCTCCACAGTTTCTGCAGACCAACCACTGGGACTTCTCCCCCAAACCCGAGCAAGTAGTCAGATGATCAGCAGCTGGGGTCACATGTCTCTCTTTGCCAGATCCACCCCCACAGAATGGTCCCACTAGCCCACAGGGGTTAGGTGCAAAGCCTCCTAGTGCTACAGGGCCTTTCCTATGTTTCTTTGGCCCCTCAGGGATCTTAGCACCTTCAGGGATCTTCCAGGTTGTATTTGGGATCCCTAGAACCTCCAGAGGTTTTCCTTGCAGCAAAGGGAAACTTGAAGCAAAAATACGCACTCACCAGTTCACAGTCATATGTACTACTTGATAATTCCCCTGAAAGTACTCAAATTCCCATGAAGCAGGCTACAAGGAGGGACAGACTAGGGAAATGGATTTTTGCTCCCTCCTTCACCATTCTGGAAAGATGCAGAGTGTGGGGGTCATCTTGCAGGGCACTCAAACAACTTGTGCCCAACCTCCCAATCACAAAATAGAGAACTCAGGAATTTCTGCTTCCCAGGCCTGAGTTCAGAGATGATATACAAAGCAGAAAGGAGAAAAGTAACATTTACCTCCACATATGTTTATCTTTGCATGTGTTATTTATCCTCATATATAATAACTCCAGGTGATAATTACTAGCAAGTGGGCAAATACCAAGTTTGAATACAGGTAGAGCTGACTCAAAAGCTCAAACTCAAAATCACACGAACAAAAAAACCACTTCACTCCATTACAAAAAATTGCCTCCCCAAAAGGAAAAAAAAAAAAAAGGTTAACTCACCTGGATTTAGGTTTGCTTCTGACAACACAGAGTGCAACAGTGGTTTCCAAACCTGGCCTCATTTTCAGAGATTCTGATTTTTTCAGCCTGGGGTAGGCCCCTGTATCTATCTACCTATCCATCTACATGCCTAGTTTTTTGTGTCTGTAGTTAGGAACCAAGGTATGGAGACCACAGAATCACCTCGTAGAAAAATATGCAGAAACTGGGAGGCAAGAAGCCATGGCTTACCTCTTGGTTCTACCACATACTTGTGGTATAATCTTCACGCTTCCTGGATTTGTTTTTCACTACAGAAATGAAATATCTGTTCCATCAATCCCTCCTACACAGGATACTTGCAGGCACAAAGGATTCAAACATACTTTAGCAAGTGGGAAGAAAAGCAAGAGATGAATTTGTTCTACTTGCCAAAATTTAGTGAGCCCAAGATTTATTCTGAAATCAGAAAGGTCTGGCTACATTGCAAGAGGAGTAAGGGACATATTAAAACAAACATTCAAGAACTCCCACTAAGATGCAGAATTTTGCCAATAAGCCATGCCCCAATCAACCCCACCAACGTGAAAAGGTTTCCTTTTTAAAGAATCTCTTTTATTGAAGGTATCTGGGGGCCACCAGATACATGGTTTAGCAATGCAGTTTGAGTAGCCAGCAAGAAATAGTTCATTATGAAGACTACTTGACTGGGAATCATAAAATATTGAGTTTTAATCCCTTCTCCTAAACTCTGTGACCCTGGACAAGTTCCTCGTTCTGGGCTTGTTTCCTAATCCTTTAAAGTAAGGGGACTAGGTTAGATCCGGGATTCAGAGATGCTGACTTACGAAACCTACTGACGTTCTTCACGAGCCTCTTGAGATTACATGCAAAATTCCATTTGTGTGTGTGTGGACAGTTTTCTGGGACACGGGGGCAAATTTTCATTTGATTCATTAAAGGTGCTTGTGAATAAGTAAGATTAAGAAACTATTTGCCTACCCATCATTCAGCTGTCAATTTCTATTCCTTCTTTTCCTAACAACCCTGGAAGGTATATGTAAATAATCGCATCTGGTGTTCTAGGGCAAAATACTGACCCTGTTTTCTCCCATATCGTTCTGATCAGGTTTTCATTTCTTCAACCATCCGAGGTAGTTTTGCTTCCAGTGGGCAGATCTGCATCAAAGCATCCCAAAGGCCTGTGACTCTGGAGCTGCGAGGCACTCCGAGCTCAGTCACAAAGCCATGAGGCCAAATTGGTTGTACTTGGATCCTAACAGCCAAGGCCCAGGGTGTCTCTGATTCTATGGAAACTCCATCTTCTCCCACTTTTAACCTATGCACCTTCCCCTTATCCCTGTATATATACCCCCACCGGTCTGAAATTCCTCCCCCACGGATTCACTGCTTTGGTTTTGCAAAGTCTGAATGTACTGTGCAACGCTTTCCTTTCCGAGGAGGCGTGATACGTTTCCAGGACATCCCAAAGTCGCAAGTGGACGGATGGAAGGGAAGGGAAAGGACTGGGAGGTAAAGTGAGAGGTGTCCTGGAGCTCTGCTCAAATGCACGAGCGGCAGGCTGCACTGGGACCAACCCCAAGGGCACAGGGAGTCCAAAGAACTGTTGACACGCTGTGCCCTGCACCAAACAAGGCTTCTCCCGGGGAACGGAGCCAGGGGCCAAGGCTCAAATTCCACCAGAAGGCAGGGGCGTGGAGAAGGGCGCCCGCACTTCCCAACCCTCGCCCCAATTCGGCAGCGGTTCTGGCTCTGGGCTGAGGCCCGGCGGCACCGCGGCCCGAGGGGGCGCTCGCGCTCCCAGCCACTGTCCGGCCCGCAGCAGGCGCCAGCTCGTTACAGGGTCTCCGTGGCCGAGGCCCACCCGAGCTCGGGGCTCTCTTTACCAAGACGAGGTCTCCAGCGAGCCCGCGCCACACTCCCACGCTCCTCCGCCGCGGCCGCCTCGCGGGCCTCCCACACGCATCCCCTCCCAGGTCCCTCCTGCTCCCACCATCTCTGCCCCTCCTTCAGCAAGATGGCGGCGAGGGCACTTCCGGCGTGTGTCCTGACGGGTGCGTACGGGCGGCAGCTGGAGGTGCCACGCAGCGGGTTCCGGCCTCTGTGCCGCTGAGTCTCTAGCGGCGATGGCGGGCGGGCCGTTTGCGTGGAGCGGGGCGGCTCTGCTCCAGCTCCTTCTTGGCGCGAACCTGCTCGTGGTGCCACCCACCCAGGCGCGGAGTCTGCGCTTCGTCACCTTGGTACCGGGAGCCGGGGTGGCCCGACGGCTTGCCCGAGCTGGAAGGGCACAGGCCCGCGGTGGGAGGGAGGGGCGGGGCTTGCGCTGGGTCGGGGTCCCCCGCGGAGCTGCAGCGGGTGCAGGGGAGACGCCCGGCCTGGAGGGTGGGGGCCGGGTTATTTTCGGGGGCAGGCCGGGGGTCCGGAGTTGTCTCGCAGGGCATAGGTCAGGTGAGCCTGTCCTGGGGCAGGCATGCTGCAGAACCGTAAAGAGACCCTCCCTAATCAAGCCTTTGGTGATTTCCAGCACCCCACCCCCACCCGCACCCCGCCACTTGCATCGCTTTCGTTTCGCTCTTGCATTTCCACCTGTATCTTTGGCTTAGCCCATGGTCTCTAGTGGCGTTGGTTGGCCAAATTGGAATCTCTGGAACCCGCTCAAAGTTACTGACTTCTAAGTCCGGGGTCTTTTGCTGTGCATAGACTTAAGGCTTCCCGGAGGGAGTAGGGCTTCCCTCCCCAACAGCGGGCAGAGGTGGGCGCTGTGTCCCCATCTAGGAACCTTCTGACCTGTAGGCAAACCCTTTTCTTTCCTCAGCTGTACCGACATGGAGACCGTTCGCCAGTGAAGACATACCCCAAGGACCCCTATCAGGAAGACGAGTGGCCTCAGGGGTTTGGGCAGCTAACCAAGGTGGGTCAGAAGCCAGACACACCCCACCCCACCCCCCCGCCGCCCCCAAGGTGGGGCTGTAGGATGAGTGACCTCTGGAGCTGCTACAGAACTTGGGGCCTCACCACATTGTCATTTCCCACGTGGGTGCTGACTTTGACTGGATTTCTTAACCTTACTGTCCTCTGTACCCAGGACAGGTGCCATACACAGGCCACTTAGTAGATGACATCTGTGATCAGATTCACCCACTCCTACTTCCAGCCAGGGGAAATTTGGAAAGCAACAGTGCCTAAGCCCTGTGGGACTTGCGAGCGGTCCCTTCCCTCTTAACCCTTGGGTTGTGCCCACAGGAAGGGATGCTACAGCACTGGGAGCTGGGCCAGGCTTTGCGGCAGCGCTACCACGGCTTCCTCAACACTTCCTACCACCGGCAAGAGGTAAGGCTGGGAGCTCGAGAGGCAAGAGGAATAGAATCTGCCCTTCTCACCCTCTGCCCTCAGGGAGCCTGGGGCACTCTGGCCTCCTTCCATGCATTTTTGATTACAGCTACAGGACAAGGCATCTAAGAGCTGCGTAGAACATAGTCACAGATGCCAAGTTGCCCCTCCTTGACTTGGAAAGGGCAACATCGATCAAGCATCCAAACTGAGGCTTGAGGGCCTGGCAAAGTCTTTTCTGATACTGTCAACCTGGATTCTTTGTCCAAGATGCTTATTAAGTACCTACTAAGGGCAAAGCGCTGTGCTACCACTTTGCATGAAATGGTGCACCACACAGATATGATCTCTGTCTTCGTGGAGCTTGGAATATAGCGGGGGTGACACACAATAAACCACACAGGGCCAGGAGATAAAGATAGCAGGGATCACATGTAGAGGAGGCGTGTCAGGGAAGATTGGCAAGTGTGCTGGCTTCCTTGAGGCCCTCTTCTACCCCAGGGATGGGGAGAGCTGTTCCTCTGGTTACTGCTGTTGGCTACAGACATCTTAAAGAGTCTCTTGATGCTCTTGTTCCCTTGGGGGCCAGCTCTCTCCTGCTCTTGCCCTTCCCCACTGCTTCCTCCTCCCTTTGCACAAGCAGTTATCTCCGTTCCCTCCCTGCTCTCTAAGCCCCTTTATAAAGGGGTGTGTGTGGTTGAGGCAGTTTCTGCCCTCCAGGACCCCTGGTAGAGATAGGGAGATGGGCGTTGTTAGAAAACCAGACAGACAGACGTGACAGTCCGACTGACTAAGCATTTGGGACTGGGAGGGCATTTGAACTAGAGCCATCCCCTCAGGAGTTCTTCACAGCAGGGTGGCAGCTATAGCCCCTAGCTAAGTGCTTGGGCCAAGGAAGGCCAGAGAGCGGGAGAGGGCCACAGTTTGCTGGTAGCCATCAAGAACAGGTTCTTCCCTTCCAGCCCCACGACAGGGCCAAAGCTCCCCTCCCCACTCAGGTGAAACTGGTGTCCTCTCTGCAGGTTTACGTGCGAAGCACAGACTTTGACCGTACTCTCATGAGTGCTGAGGCCAACCTGGCTGGACTCTTCCCTCCCAACGGCATGCAGCGTTTCAACCCAAATATCTCTTGGCAGCCTATCCCCGTCCACACTGTGCCCATCACTGAGGATAGGGTAAGACTGGCCGGCCCCCCTCCCTGGAGGCGGTGAGAGGGACAATGCTGGCCATGGGCCTGCTGATCCCCAACTCCTTCTCTGCCTCTCTTTCCCCTGCTTTGGTCTGCAGCTGCTGAAGTTCCCATTGGGCCCGTGTCCCCGATATGAGCAGCTGCAAAACGAGACCCGACAAACACCAGAGTATCAGAATGAGAGTGTTCAGAATGCAGTGAGTGGGGCTGAAGTGGGGATCACCACCCTGATCCTTTCCCTCAGGGCAGTACTGATCCCCAGGTCCGTTTTCTCCTAGCAATTTCTGGATATGGTGGCCAATGAGACAGGGCTTACCGACGTGACACTGGAGACTGTCTGGAATGTCTATGACACACTCTTCTGTGAGGTGAGCCCACTTAGTGTCCCCGGTATGAGCTCTCTTCCCTCACACCTCAGCAGGCCCAGGTGACCAGGACAAGTAGCGTACAGTGTCTGGATACCATTTCCACCGGGGAGGTCCAGACAGGCTGCTTCTTGTGAAACAAAGGAATTTCCCTCACGGGTGAAAACCTCAGAGTGGGAAATGGTTCATGACTTGTCAGCAGTTCTTGCCTCTCTCCACCCAGAACTCTCGTGGTATCCGACTCTATCCTGCTGAGTCACGCTTTTCGTGCCTGAGCTGCCTTCCCTGTGTCCTGTCCACCATGTGTCCTGGTTCCAGGCCCTCAGCCTCACCTCTCCTCTCCTCTCCTTCCCTCCCTCCCTCACACACACAGGCACCTTCCCGCTGGGGAAGAGAGCTGTCCCCGGAGAGGCTCTGGCCTAGGCCTGGGGAGCTAACCTGCCCGCTGCGATACACAGCAAACACACGGGCTGGTCCTGCCACCCTGGGCCTCACCCCAAACCATGCAGCGTCTGAGCCGGCTAAAGGACTTCAGCTTCCGCTTCCTCTTCGGGATCTACGAGCAGGCAGAGAAGGCCCGGCTTCAGGGGGGTGAGTGATAAGAGCAGCATGTCATTTCCCCATCAGGACTCCACAACATTAAAAATCTGCTCTGGAGGGTTTCTCACACCCTTTTAACTTCTCTACCTATAGTGCTCTCTGCCCCTTCAAAACCAGACCTCCCATTAGCCAATGAAGTCTCCCCAGCCCTCCAAATGCTTAGCGCCTCTGTCACTGTAGAGCGACCACTGTCAAGTTTGTGTGCTTTTTTTCCCCTACCATTCATATTCTTAAGTGTCACCTGTCAGAAGACCCTCTGTCTCCCCTTAAATGAATTCCTCCCTCCAGAGAACCACTGAGGGCCACTTGGCAAGAAGGCTGAGAGTCACACATGTGCCAGTTTCCTGATGGGAGCACCCAAGGGAGGGCTGGCCATTAAACCTTTGCGAGCCTGCCTGTGGCCGAGCTCCCGTACACGCCACTGTCTCGCATGTTCTGAAGCGACCTTAAGTTTATATTTGTGCCAGACTGGAGTGATTGTTCAGATGTGAGCAGGGCCTGTGTAGCTCATTTATAAACGGGCAGGTCTTTATTATTGGTGTTGAAATACCAATACCTTGTTTTATCTCATTTCCATTTGTAAATGTGAAAGTTCTGAGAGAAGAGGGGTGCTGGAGAGTTGGCTGCGTGTTTCCCATCCCCCCTCAGAGTGCATAGGTGATCAGACTCAGGACTGGCAGAGGGTAAAGGGCCACAGACAGGTCTGACCAGAAGACAGGGGTAGCTGGAGCCTCTGTCACGGAGGACTGTTCTCCTTCAGGAGTTCTGCTGGCTCAGATACGGAAGAACCTGACCCTGATGGCAACCTCGTCCCAGCTCCCTAAGCTGCTGGTTTACTCTGCGGTAAGCTCCCATAGTCCCCAGCTGCTGATGTCCAGCAAGGAGCTAGATTTCTTCTCTCTTCAGTGCCTGGGCATGAGGGTTGAGGGGAGAGTAGTGCTGACAGGGGGCTCCCCTCTCACAGCATGACACCACCCTGGTCGCTCTGCAAATGGCACTGGATGTCTACAATGGGGAACAAGCCCCCTATGCCTCCTGCCACATATTCGAACTGTACCAGGAAGATAATGGGTGAGTGGAGCTACCGGACGGTCTGCCTTGGGGATGGCTTGGGGTGGCTGTGGGCAGCCCAAGGACTCGGTGACAGGCCCGCTGAGTACCTTCCATCTCGTCTCCCATTGATCCTCAGGAATTTCTCAGTGGAGATGTACTTTCGGAACGAGAGTAACAAGGCTCCCTGGCCACTGATCCTGCCTGGCTGCCTTCACCGCTGCCCACTGCAGGACTTCCTTCACCTCACAGAGCCTGTTGTGCCCAAGGATTGGCAGCAGGAGTGCCAGCTGGCAAGTGGTCCTGCAGACACAGGTGAGCTGCTGCCTGACTCTGCTGCTGATGTCCCAGAACGACTTTCAGTTCCTACCTGCAAGTCTCTGGAGAGCTGCTGCACCTCTAGCCATCTGACTCACTTCCCTAGACAGTTTACTTCCCCACCCTGAGACCATTCCTCACCTTCTCCCTATCCCTCTTTCTCAGGCAATGCCCTCTCTTCTCATATCACTGAGAAAATAATGGTGTTCAGGAAAGCCTGGGCTCATCCTCCCACCAGCAGATCTTCTAGCTTACTTGCTGGTGTAACCCACTACCTAAGGCCAACAACCTCTCCATTTATGCTCTGGATCTATCTTTTCTCACTTCCATAGGGACTTGTGGGGCCTCCGCGTTTCCTGTCTGCTAGGTCAGTTACATCTAAAAGTCTAACGAAGATCTCTCAGGGCCCCATCTTCCTCCAGCCACCGCTCTGTCGGTTTCCTGTGAAAGTGGAATCCTGCAGATTTGCCTAGACTCTGGTTTCGCTTTTTCAGTGCCCATTCTGTCAGACTCACAGTAGATAGGCTTGTGTCACCTATTCCAGTGAAGCCTTTCGTAAAGGATCAATGACCCTCTTATCAAAGCCAGTGACCAATTCTTAGCTTCTCTCCTCTTAGCATGATAAAATCGACTCTTCTGTCTTGGCTTTCTCTGGTTTTTCTTCTGACTTCTAGGTAGCTTCCTGACTGGCTTTTTCTCCCCACCAAACAATGGAGGGCCCAGGTCTCATCTTGGCCCTTCTCCCTCTGTGCCCACTCCCAAGGTGATGCCATCGAACCTCATGGCTTTACATAGCACTTCCATGCAGAGTTCATGCTTTGATGACTCAGATTCATAACCTTTTCTCTGAGCTACAGATTCACATATCTAGCTGCTAACTTGAGGTCTCTCCATGGAGGTCAACTAGAACATCTCAAAATTGATATGTCTGAAACCAAATACTCTTAACCCCCAAATCCACCCTTACTTCAGACTTGTCCATCTTAGCAAATGCCACAAGTCACCCAGTTGCATAGTGTAACCCTATCAGTCATCTTGAATACCATCTTTCCCAGATCCCACATCCAGTCCACTAGCAGATCCTATCAGCTTGATCTTTAAAATACATCCTCCTGGGATGCCTGGGCGGCTCAGGGGTTGAGCGTCTTTTTTCGGCTCAGGTCATGATCCTGGGGTCCTGGGATCGAGTTCTGCATAGGGCTCCCCACAGGAATCCTGCTTCTCCCTCTGCCTGTGTCTCTGCCTCTCTGTGTCTCTCTTGAATAAATAAATAAAAATTAAAAAATAAATAAATAAAATGCATCCTCTTGCCTCCCTGGTATGATCCTCCATCACTTCTTGCCTGAACTACAGAAAATCTTCCTAGTGTTCCTTCTGATTTTCTTGTCCCAACCAGTCTCAGCACTGCAGAGTTAATTAAAAAAATAAAAATAAAAATAGGGGATCCGTGGGTGGCTCTGGTTTAGCGCCACCTTCAGCCCAGGGTGTGATCCTGGAGTCCCAGAATCAAGTCCCGCGTCGGGCTCCCCAGAGGGAGCCTGCTTCTCCCTCTGCCTGTGTCTCTGCCTCTCACAAATTAATAAATAAAATATTTTAAAATAATAAAAAATAAAAATAATAAATCCATTCACATCACTACCCTTCTCAGAATCTTGCAGTGGCTTTCCATGATGTTTAGGACAAAATACAAGTTCTTCCCTGTGACTTTCAAGCGCTTCTTATCTGATCTTCTGCTCTGATCTGCTTGCTCCTCACTTACCCTGCTATAGTGATAACTGATTTTGTAGCTGATCCTAGAATTTTCCCAACTTATTTCCACATCAGGGAAATTCTGTACTGGCTTTTGTCTGCCCATCCCCTCTGCCCTTGCCCCAGGACCTGTTTCTCTCAGGTTCAAGTGTCTCAGTGACTCCAGGTGTCTGGTTAAATTGTCACTTCCTCAGTGATGCCTTCTCTGACTGATGTACCTTTCTATCCTTTTCTCTTTAGTTTGTTTTCCTTTATATCATTTGTCACTAACCTGTGCATGTCTCCGCTGTAAGAAGAACACCTGGCATATGGTAGATGGTCCAGTATTTGTCGGATGAACACTGATACGACCTTTCTCTCCCCCACCCCATCCCATGCCCAGAGGTGATCGTGGCCTTGGCTGTGTGTGGCTCCATCCTCTTCCTTCTCATAGTGCTACTCCTCACCGTCCTTTTCCGGATGCAGGCCCAGCCTCCCGGCTACCGCCATGTCGCAGATGGAGAAGATCATGCCTGACAACCACTCAGCCCCCTTCCCTCTGCCTCCTAGGGGAGGTGGGCTGGGCCCTTGCTCCTGACTCTTGCTGCTCCCCAGCCCATGGACAGGAGACCCTGGGTTGGCCTTCCTCGGATTACCCCAGCCTAGACAAACAAGTGAGACTTGGCTTGGCCCATGGCACCCGTCACTTAGCATTCGTGTGCCTCACGTTTACCAAGTACTGTGTTGGACTTTGGCTCTCTCCAGACAAGATTTGCCTCCACCATGCTTACTAAGGACCAGAAGTGTAAACAAGCAAGTTTCACTCAGGACCTGGGATTGACAAACTGAAGGAGTTAGCACTTGATCTGCCTTGCCCCCACCAATCAAGCCGTGCTCTCTCTTCTAGCCCGGAGTCTTCAGCAAATGGTTCAGAGGACACAGTTCTGCACCCCAGTGTTTATTTTAGTGGAAAGTACTGCACAATTCTGGGAGTATAAACACTGGCTGCCAGGGAATGGGATCATGCAGAGGCCCGCTGGCCAAGTTTTCCTTTGTCTCCCTGAAGGCACCATTAGACATAATGCTTCAGGCATCTTTGTCACCCTGCAGCTGGAGCAGGTCAGAAGGGTGTTTGTCGGGGGAGGGAGGGGCATGAGTTGCAGTATAGTTATGGCACTACCGATCCCTTTTGGCTACGTCGGGGTCTTTGGGGACCAGAGGTGAATGCAGGTTGTGAGCTGGACAGCTTGTGACTGTGGCCCAGAATAGGGCTAAGGCAGCTTCCAGAGAATGAAAGTTCTAGACTCTGTTTCTGTGCCTTTTTTTGGTTTGGGGGACACAAGGAGCCCTCTGATTAGGTCAGTGCTAGAAGATCCACTCACAGGCTGTTGGGTATGGTTTTATTAGCCATGTCAATAGTGAGCACAAACTGAAAACCACTACCTTATCACTCCATCACTGCACGTCAAACATAGAAGAGTACCTTCGCTCCAAGAGAAGCCTGGCTCCAGGCTAGATACAGCAGGGGCCCTTGGGGCACCTGGGGCACCAACTCTGGAGAAGTTTCTGGAGCTGAGTCCAGAGCAGTAACGTGCCAGTGTCCCAGCCCCATAGTGTCCCATGCCACAGTGTCCCTGCTCCAACCCTAAGACTTGGATACCTTTGGCCCTTTTAATACACAGCCGCCTCTTCTTACAGGATTTGTCCTCAGGCGGCTCCAAGCTCTCGCTTAGCCCACACCTTCATTAGTGTCTCTCATGGCCGCATCCTGGCTTCCTCCTGGCTCCAAATGAGAATGTGATAACCTAGGAGGAGTGAGACCAGTCTGACTCTCACCTTCTGTTATCAGACTCTGAGAACTTGGGGCTGGCCTAGGGAACCTAGGGCTTGGTAAGGAAACCAGGACACTGGACAGCAGCCAGGCACTGTCACAACCAAGACAAAGCAAGAGGCATGGAGGGCCTAGGCCAAAGCGTCCACTGTCTCCTGGAAATCTTCTTTCCTGCCTTCTACCCTGGGGTGACTGGCAGGGCTAAGCTGAGGAGAGCCTGCACTCAACATTGGGGAGTAGGGTAGGGCTTGGCCAGTCTGAGATACAACCTGCTTCACTCACCCATCACAGAGGCCAGCGTGTCCCCCATAGGATTGAACTCATTGAGCTGCAGAGACAAGGGTGTAAGCACGAGGAGGTGAGATATTGGGAGAAGAGGACATGATGGCTAATTTCTGGTCATTTTTGGCCAGCTAAGGTAGGTTGAATCCCTGCTTCCCCCCCCCATCATTTGAGGGCCCAGACCTCACCGAAATGATACCAGAAGATTCTGGGTCATAGAGCTGATACATCATCTTCCCTGAGCTTCCGTCAAACACATCGATCGTCCTTAATTCATGAGGGGTACAGCTTTTGAAATTGGGGTCTGGGTATCGGCCCACGACAATGAGGTTGTACCGAGGATGCCAGGTTGCCTAGGAGATGGAGAGTTGTCATGAGAGCAAATGCAGAATACTGTCAAGAGGGACCTCAGAAGTATTCTTTGCCACTCACAATTGTTGATACAAGTGCCAGCAATTTAATAATGGAAGTAAGACCCACATGAAACTACAAGAACAGCTTTCAAGTGCATGTGCATCTACCATTCCACATTTTAAATCCCAAATTGGCCTCTCTGGACCTTGGGACACCTTCAGGCCTTCTCTCTTGTATTTCCTGAGATCATACCAATCGATAGACGTTTGAACATCAGCTTGACCATTAACCAAAGAGGTAGGCCTCCAACCAAGCAAAAAGTCTCTGGTAACCAAAACCAAAAGTAGGACATAAATTCTGAAGTAATCCCACTACTGTCCCTTCTCGATCAATGTGAATGAAAGAGTTGAGCAGAAAATGGCTAGTGGCCAAGAAAGGGAAGGAAACCTATGTTCCCCAGATGATCCCACTCAAAACAAATCTGGCAGTGATTCGGAATGACAGAATCAGATGGGGCCTTTCCTAAGAAATCGCAAGGAAGTTTTGAAGGAGGAAAGACATGGTTAGCGGGAAGGAGAAAGTTGGCACAAGTCCTGCCTGGGAAGCTGGAGATTGTCCTCGCCAGACATGAAGTGGGAAATGACACATGAATCAGTGGGAACCAGCCAGTGAAGAACCCTTGTTAAGAGCTTGGATTTGACTTAAGGTATGTGAGAGCCGGTCTAAGATTAAACGATCACCGTTGACATAGTGCTTCCCAGGCACTAGCCATGTGTTTTAAGTGTACCGATTCTTCCAATAACCCTGTCAGCCAGGTACTATTACTGCATTTTTAGAGATGAGGAAACCGAGATCCAAAACCCAAGCAGCTTACCGAAGGACTCCAACCAGGGGTGTTGGCCTGCCTTGACAGAGAAGTACAGGCGTGACCCCTGGAGTTCTGAAGAGGGACTGTAGTGTTCAAAAAGAACAGAAACCAGGAGAGCAGAGGAGTGGGTCTGGGGCATGGGCGGGAAGGGATCCGAAGACTTAAAGACCATCAGTGTTGGGGGCCAAGGTCAGCCAGTGGGCCAGCAGCACATGCAGTAACTGGAAGGGAGGGCAGAACAGGGGGACAAGCAGGTTGAGCAGAAAAAAAAAAAAAAACGGGGAAAGAGCTTCCAGGAGACACAACCCAGCAAAGCGGGATCTCAGAATGGGGACAGAAATTGCAGAAAAGCCAGGGGAGAAGAGACTGTTTCATGTGGGTGCAGGATGAGATCTGGCCTTTCCCTACCTCAGGCAGACCCGGTCCATCCCCACAATCACAGCTCCCTGCCTCCATCACTTACCTTGATGGGTGTCAGGTGCTGGAAGTGGCGGTGAGGATGTGGGATCAGGCTTGGGGGATAGTCCCACTGGGAGGCTGAGTAAACCCGGAGCTCACTCTTCTGGTCAGTGGTCAAGAGCTGGGCTCCATCAGGACTGAAACAGGCTGGCAAGTGAAAAGCCCCAGAGCTGAAGAGAGCACAGGCCTTCCCCCACAGGGGTGCCCTCTCTCCCACTCCTGTCTGGACAGGGGTGGAAGGGAAGAGGTGAATCTGGGCTGTGAACAAAAACATTCTAGAAACTTGGGGTGCCAGGGTAGCTCAGTTGGTTAAGTAGCTGACTCTTGATATTGGCTCAGGTTGTGATTTCAGCATCCTGGGATTGAGCCCCACATTGGGGGTCCTTGCTCAGCAGGGAATCTGCTTGTCCCTTTCCCCCTGCCCCTCCTCCCACTCACACTCTCCAAATAAAATAAATCTTAGAAAAACAACAACCATTCTAAAAACCTAGCAGCTGTTGGAGGCAGCTAGAATCAGGAATTTTCCAAGACACCAACTTGGCTGATTATCTCAGGATAGAGGTTTGACCTAGCAGCTTCTAAATATTGAGGGGAGAAACCCCAGAAGTGGTAGGATAGGCAGGTTCTACAGGAAGGATGAAGTCTGGTATATCACACCTGCATTGACAGGATGGCTATGCGGCAGCGAGTGGAGGAAGCTGGATTTCCCTCTAACCTGGCGCAGGTCCCAGATTTTCACTGTTTGGTCTACGGAGGCTGTGGCCAGGAACCAATCACAGCATGGGTTCAGGGCCACGTGGGTCACTTTCTTTTTGTGCATTCTCAGATTCCAGAGCTGCAGAGAAGGGCTCGGTTCAGGTGGGGCGCAGGGAGGCCAGGGGCAAGGGACAGAAAGGGGGGAACTGGGCTCCAGAAAACGCACCTCCCTGCCATCCATGTTGAGTAGGATCACGTGCCCCACATTGTCTCCTGTGACCACCATTCGGCTTCTGGCAGACACATCCAGGCTGCAAAACCAGAAGCTGGAGGGAGAAACTGTGCTGTAAGATTCTTGGGGACAGAGGCAAGGTCCACTCATTCTTTTGCCGCTCCAGTGTCTTAATGTACAGTGGATGTCTGATCAGTATTTGCTGAACGAATAACTGTCTCACCACAGATTCCCAGTGAGGAACACTCAGAGTTGTCTACCATGCAGAGGGGATGGGTGTGACGGGGCTCACAAATGTGTCCAGTTACTCAGCTAGTAAGAGTCCTCCAAGCAGCCGCAAGCAAGAGCCATAAAGCAAATCCCCAGGCTAGCCTGCCCCCTATAGCCCTGGGTTCTGAGGAACATTTGTTTATTGCTCTCTCCCTTCACTCTCTACTCTGGGCCACAGGAGATGACAAACCAAACAGGGACTGCCCAGCTCGGTTCCGCTGGTTGGTGAGAAAGGAACTTCTGCCCCCTTCTGAGCATTTAGGGGAAAAAGCATACACAAGTTTCAGAGCTCTGTCTTGCTCTTTTGTGTCTCAGACTACCTGAGGTCGAAGGGATTGGGCTGGGATCCTAAAACCCAGCCGGGAGAGCTCAGATTCATATTTTTTTTTCTCTCAAACATTCAAATCCTTGCCACAGTGCTTTTTGTATCCCTTACAAATATCTTTCAGAGGGAGGGTTTCTTATGGAAGAATAACATGGAGCTGAGTCTGATGGGATCATCACCTGTCCTGATTGTGTTATTCTGACCTCTGTGGGCCGCCCAGGATAATGTCCAGTGCTAGTTAGACACCCCCCCCAACCCCCCAGATTCTTTAGAGAACAGTAAGAGTCCTGTCTGTCTAGAAATCCAAGTGACGAGCATTTTGTATATTCTCCAGCCACTTGCCCTTCGGGTGTCCAACATGCTCTGCGGACGCAATCCTATCCCATTAAGCTTCCATCCAGCAACTGGTTGCCTCATTGCACCCCAGTGATGTAGGTAATGAAATCTTAAATTCTTAGTCCCTGCTCCAACTGCTAAGTGGCTCTCTGGGCCATGTTGACTAGTGAGAATCAAGGTCTAGTCTAATACAAGAATGCCTTGCAGAAGAGCCAAAGCCCTTCCCTCGCTGAGAAGAGCGGAGGCTCGAGACCACCTCACTGAAGCAGCAAGGCACCTGGGACGGGGAGGAGCAGCCAAGGAAACTCTCAGAGAGGGGTGGGCGGAAAGCGGCTCCATTACCTGGCAGTTCTTCCCTATGCCAGGTCTGAGGAACACACATGAGATACACATGCTCTCAGCAGAACTATGCTGAGTGCCTAGAAGCCCTTTCCCTCCTTGTGAGGCTACTCACTTGCAGGTGCCTGAGCTGGTAAAAACTCGCAGAGTGTTGCCTTTAAAGTCTTGCAGCCTAGTTGTTCCCTCCATTGAGGAGGTGAAAAACTGGTTGGTATCAAGAGGGTTAAACTTCAGCCCAGTGATGCTCCCTCCAGCTCCAATCTAACACAAGGAAGAGAAAAGCCAGTGAGTGACCATGGCCCAGGAGGTTAGGCAGCACGTGGGGCCAGGCCAGCTGAGTGGCCTGTATAGGGGGATGTGTTCTGTGATGGCTCTTTATTAAGATCTTCGTTTTAATTGGATTCTTAACGAATTAACATATGGTTTTTAGAATATAGTTCTATGAATTTGAACACACAGTAGAGTTTTGAATCCCCACTACCCAAACTGGGATGCAGAACCATTCCATCGCTCAAGAATCTCCCTTGTGCTCTCTGGTCATAGTCCCACTCTCACCTGTAACCCCTGGCTACCAAGGATCTGTTCTCCATCATGCTGTGGTTTTGCCTTTAATAGACTGTCATAGAAATGAATGCCTACAGTAGGCATCCTTTTGTGACTGGCATCTTTCATCTCACTCAACATCAAGCCCCCGGAGATGCAGCCACATCGCCATGTGCACCCATCGCTTATTTCATTTACTGCTCAACACTGCATTATGTGGATGCACCACAGTTTGTTTATTGCCCAGTGCTCTTTAGGAGAGCTTCTGGGATACCTGGGTGGCTCAGTTGGTTAAGCATCTGCCTTTGGCTCAGGTCATGATCCCAGGGTCCTAGGATTAGGCCCCATGTTGGGCTCCCTGCTCAGCGGGGAGTCTGCTTCTCCCTCTGCCACTCTCCCTGCTCGTGCACATGTGCTTGCTCTCTCTGGCTCAAAAATAAAAATCTTAAACAAAAACCAGAAGAGCTTCAGCTCCAAACAGTGCCTGGATTAGGAGGGCAGGAGTCAGATCTGAGCTCCTTCCTATTTTTTCCAGATGTCCCAGACAAGGATGATGTAAACAGTCATGAGATAACATCAATAACATACTCTCATTAAATGCTTATTATTATTAAAGAACTTTACAACCTCAAGAGCTCTGTCTCCACTTCTTATGCTGATGCTATCCTAGCCTCATAGATTATGAGGCCTCTGATGCAACATCCACTTATCTCACTCAGCATGCTCACTGGCAAGTTCCATCCCCTCTACAAAGCATTCTAACCTGTGCCCGTGGTCCACCGAACCCTTGCTGCTGTGATCACCATCTGCTCCCAACATTTTAGTCCTGTGCTCACCCAGGTTTCATTGTGTCTGTTCTTAAACCTGTATATGCCCATTGAACTGTTTTTTGTAATTATGTAATTTAATTAAATATGTAACTTTATTACATGTCACTTATTAACCGTTTCTTAAAGATTTAAACATTTCAATGAGGGATCCCTGGGTGGCGCAGCGGTTTAGCGCCTGCCTTTGGCCCAGGGTGCGATCCTGGAGACCCGGGATCGAATCCCACGTCGGGCTCCCGGTGCATGGAGCTTGCTTCTCCCTCTGCCTATGTCTCTGCCTCTCTCTCTCTCTCTCTCTGTGTGTGTGACTATCATAAATAAATAAAAATTAAAAAAAAACCATTTCAATGAAACATTTAAGCATTTACTTAAACATGTAGTTTAATTAAACTGAGGAAATATGTGCAAAAAAGACCACTGTTATTTCTATGAAAGCCACGTTGAATACTTGGGAAAAACTAGATAAAAGTGAGTTGCTAAAGATAATAGTTGTCAAATTACACATGGATGAGATACTTATAAACACTTATGGTGGGAAATAAAACTTGAAGAATCTGCAATCAGAATGCTTCATAACTGCCTTTAAATTGTCTCCATGGGGCGCCTGGGTGGCTCAGTCAGTCATCTGACTGGTTTCAGCACAGGTCAGGATCTCATGGGTCGTGGGATCAAGCTCTGTGTTGGGCTCTGTGCTTAGTGGGGAGTCAGCTTGGAGATTCTCTCCCTTTTCCCTACTCACATATTCTGTCTCTCTCTCAAAGATTTTATCCATTGGAGAGAGAGCATGAGCAGGGGGAGAGGCAGAGGGAGAGGGAGAAGCAGATTCCCCATGAGCAGGGAGCCTGCCATGGGACTCGATCCTAAGACCCTGGGATCACAACCTGAGCTAAAGGCAGACACTTAACCATCTGAGCCACCCAGACGCCCCAATAAATAAATCTTTAAAAAAAAATTATGTCTCCATTTTAGAGAAAGGGAAACTAGACCCTATAAAGAATACATTTAATATATATATGTTATAGGTGTGGCTTATGTAAGACCAGGTGAGCCTTACTCCCCGAAAAGGCCTAGTCCTATGTCAGAGCATCAGTAATAAACACATAAACGTTTTGGATTAAAATGCATTTGTGGGGACACCTGGGTGGCTCAGCGGTTGAGCATCTGCCTTTGGCTCAGGATGTGATCCTGCGGTCCTGGAATTGAGTCCCACATCGGGCTCCCCCGAGGGAGCCTGCTTCTCCCTCTGCCTGTGTCTCTGCCTCTCTCTGTGTCTCTCATGAATAAATGAATAAAATCTTAAAAATAATAAAATGCATTTGTGTTCTTATAGTAAGGGTAGACAAGACGTTACGATCAATTTGTGTACTGAGTAGGAAGATTAAAACATGGGTAAAGTCTGATAAATATATTGGAGACTTCCAACACCAGGATGGTGTTTAGCTCATGTTGGGCCAGCTTTCTGCTGAGAACTAGAAAAGGGAAACAAAATCTATGTCTTTAAAGAAAAGTTTCTAAAGTCAACAGAGAGCTACAAAGGCATCAGGGATTTGAAGACCAACGTCCTAGAGAGCAGGGAGCAGAAAAGCAGGCCTGATCTTTCGATGTTGCATTTCCCTTTGAGGCCCATGCAGGGCAGAAAGCTGTGGCTTTGAAGCCAAGGAACCACACTGCAGAGAAGCTGAATGGGAAGGGGGGGAGAGGTGCTCATGGCTGAGAAGCTGGGCTGAGTTTTCACCAAGTCTCATAGGGCAAGAGGGGCAGAAATGGAGTTCTGTGGGGCAGAGGTCTTGGAAGAAATCTAGCTTTTAGTTAGGATCCCTAACACACTATAGAAGACGGCACTGGAAATAGCTTGACCCTCACAAAGGCTGATGTCCAGATTCAAATCATTTCAATCTCATTGGATTAAGATGATCTGATTCCGCCCTACCTGCCTGTCAAAGGGGAAAAAAAAAAAAGGTCTCTGGAGGAAATTACCACCACTCAAAACTCCAAATTATCTCTGAAAGTTTTCATATGCAATACCTGGTACTAAATCTAAAATCACCCAACATACCAGAATATAAGGCCAAATAACCAGAAACTAAGAGAAAGAAACAATATTTGAAAGACACAGGAGATTCAGATGTTAGAGCTATTAAATACAGGCTTTAAAATATTGTGATTAGAGCAGCCCCAGTGGCTCAGCGGTTTAGCGCCACCTTCAGCCCGGGGTGTGATCCTGGAGACCCAGGATCGAGTTTCCCCGTCAGGTTCCCTGCATGGAGCCTGATTCTCCCTCTGCCTCTCTCTCTCTCTGTATCTGTCATGAATAAATAAATTAAAATCATAAATAAATAAATAAATAAATAAATAAATAAATAAATAAATAAATAAATATAAAATAAAATAAAATAAAATAAAATATTGTGATTAGGGGTGCCTGGGTAGCTCAGTTGGGAAAGCATCTGCCTTCAGCTTGGGTCATGATCTGATCCCAGGGTCCTAGGATCAAGCCCCACATTGATCTCCCTCTACCTCTGCTTGCTGCTCCCCTTACTTGTACTCTCTCTCTGTTGAATAAATAAATACAATCTTAAAAACATATTATTACTATACATTAAAAAAAAAAAAAAGCCCTGGGTTGCCTGGGTGGCTCAGTTGGTTAACCATCTATCTGCCTTTGGCTCAGGTCATGATCCCAGGGTCCTGGGATTGAGCCCTACATCAAGCTCCCTCTCAGCCGGGAGCCTGCTTCTCCTCCTGCCTCTGCCCCACCCCCCCCCCCATGCGTGTGCGTGTGCTCTCTTTCAAATAAATAAAATCTTTAAAATAAAAATAGATCTAACTTAAAAGTGGACAAAAGGTTTGAACACAGTTTTCCAAAGATACGCAAATGGTCAGGAGCACAGAAGATGCTCAACATCATTAGTCATCTTAAGATACTATTTCGTACCCACTTGGATGGCTATAATAAAAAAGATGGACAATAACAAGTGGTGACAAGACAACCCCTAAAATGGGAAAAAATATTTGCAAATTATATCTGAAAAGAAGTTAATATCAAAAATATATAAGGAGTTCAATGGCAAAAAACAACCCCCAAATAACCTAATTAAAAACCGGTCAAAGGACCCTAAATTGGGATTTTTCCAAAGAAGATATACTAATGGCCAATAGGCATATGAAAAGGTGCTCAACGTCACTAATCCCAACATCAGGGAAATGCAAATCAAAACCACAATGAGCCATCACCTTACATTTATTAGGATGGCTATTATCAAAACAACAAAAGATAACAGGTATTAGCAAGGGTGCGGAGAAAAAGGTACTCTAGTATTCTGTTGATGGAAATGTAAATTGGCAGAGGCACTATGGAAAACTGTATGGAAGTTCCTTGGAAAATTTAGAAATACCATTTGATTCATTAATCCCACTTCTAGGTATATAGCCAAAGGAAATGAAATGAGCTTCTTAACATGTTATCTTCCCTCCTGTGTTCACTGTAGCTATTCACAATAGCCAAGATAGGAAAACAACCTCAGTATTTGTAGACAGATGAAGGGATAAAGAAAATGTAGTATGTATATATAATAGAATATACTGAGCCTTTAAAAAGAAGTAAATCCTGCCATTTGTGACAACCAGGATGAACCAGGAGGATGTTACGCTAAGTGAAATAAGTCAGACACAGAAAGACAAATACTGCATGATCTCACTTATACATGGATTCTACAGACGTGTAACTCATAAAAGCTGAGAGTAGAATGGTGGTTTCCAGGGGCTTGGGGATGGAGGAAATGAGGAGATGTTGGTCAAAGGGACAAAGTGTCAATTATGCAGGATAAATAAGCTCCAGAGATCTAATGTACAGCATGGTGACTTATAGTTAATAAGACTGTATTGTCTATT